TACAATAATACATCATTTTATATTTATTTAGGCAAACACTTAGGTAAATAATAAGTAAAATCCTTCTTGATTGATTTAGTTATTTTTCTTATTCTATGTGTAGAACTGTATAAGCATATCCCTATTATGGACTATTATCTTTAGTAAAAATTGTCCAATAACTAGGAAACCACTCGTTCGAATTTTGATTTTGATACATCAAAATTCTCAAAAAAATTATCCAATAATTTAAAGAAAAAAGTGGGGTTCTCATTTGAAAAACAAAGGTTCTTATCGCCACAGGGCACTCCTTAAGTGCCACAAAAAATCTCAAGAATATGAAAATATGGTCTTTGAGTATATTTGAAGATTCTAAAAATCAGATTTTGAAAAACTACATTATTGAAGAAAAAAAGGGGATGAGCATACTCGTTGGATCACCCTGTATAAGTGGGTAACGCTCTAAAGCTCTGCTTTACGCCTGTACTTATTAGGTGTCTAGTGAGTCACTGTAATGGATGTCCACTTTTTTTCAGCTGGGATATCAATGAATAAAAATATAATATTTTTCATTTGAATTATTACTCATCATGATACTAATAGTATACGGAATATTAAACATCACCTCTATTTAAAAATAGTAAACTTGTTAACCCTTTATTATTTTTATTCCCATAATCCATTTTCGATGTATTTCAATAATGTAGATGTTATTGAACTATGATTGAATGTCAAATGACATTGACGATAATAATATCATAATATAATATTATAATATGCATATTATGCAATCTACGTCAGGTTTATTTTATTATAATATTTTCAATAATACAAATTATGATTACACGGCGTTATGGATAGGCTATTTAGATACATCACTGCCATGGTCCACATTACATTATCCTGTATCTTTTAATTCATAACTTATAAGTCATTACTTAGTGTCATGAATATCTTTTTATTCAGTGCCATTAAAAGTGTGTATGGTAGACCTAACTTATCCTAACATGTAAAAAATACATTATCGCTTTTATAGTAAATAAGCAAGCGTTAACTAAATATGAGGAACGTGAAATTAGTATACATGATAAAGCATACGAGGTACTCTTATACAGTTAATAAATCGAAATTTGGTTTACTTGAAATTCGATATTTGCAGATATTTTAAACTCTTAAAGTGTAATGTGCTCGAGGATTATGAAAATTAAAGAACCCATCCTTTAATGTAATACTAGATTTACGGCTAATTACATTATGTCTTCTTGTGTTGATTTAAAATGTGTCATAATTTTAACTGTACTCTATGACTGAAATATTAATTATCTATTGTTCTTTATGAATCCTATAAGTTAATGTTATAGAGAATACTTTGCATGATAAGGTTTAATGAAATTGTAACATGCCCATCGTTCTATCTGTGCTTATCCATCGTATAGATACTGTACTTATAAGTTGTAAGTTTTTTTTTATCATAAATTTGTTGTGGCTAAAAAAATAATATTCACTTGTTTTTGTTTTTTTTTTCATTGAATATTAAATAAATAATTTGATAAATAATAATTTGTTATTAATTGTATTTATTTTGTAGCTGTGATTTAAATTATGTATTGTGTATACCTAGCTCATCATTTATTCTATTATATTTTATTTGATTGACAATATTATTTCCATTTAGTACTTAGACTTGAATAGTTATTTTGTGATATTGCGCAAGATTAAAATTTAAATAGCCGTATATATTTTTTTAATTAAGCTGATAAAAGTTATAACAAAATTGAAAATTCATCTAGCTATAATATTACCCGAATTCAACTGGGAAAAAGTTTTCTAACCTTTTTTTTCTATTAATTTTAGTCACTTATATGTGTGTGGTTTTGTTTTTTTGTATCTATGTTTAAACGATACTAGAAATAACGCAACGATACTCTACTTTAGGGATGACTTCTGGTCAGTGATGAATTAGATCTAGTTGGTATTCTACCAGGTAAAAATTGAAAATTCTCAGTATTTTTCAAAATAGTTGGGAAAACAAAAAAAAAATCGATCATTCCACTTACCTATTTGAACTTTTTTTGTAAAAACACTGTTTAATTTATTATTACTACTTATTCAAAATCAAATTTTAAAAGTAGAATGATCGATCTTCAGTAAAATTATTATTAATATTAAATATTTTCTCTGTAGATTTGTATTTAATACACTATTTGCACTACTCGTTTTATTGATATGATAAATAAAAGATTGTTATGTTTTCATCAAAACAGTCGGAGTCAATTCCTCTACAGAAGTTTTTCACTACAATAATAATTATGAAATTAAAAATGCTGCAGTGTTTTAAAAATTACAAATTGAAAATTCATTTTAACTGCTGCGTATGCGGCTGTACGAGAGAACGTGAGAATATTTTATAGTAATTAGTAAACTTCTACTTTTCAGATGCGCCATCTTTTATTGTGAATGTCATTTATTTTCAATGCATTTCCATGACAATATTACGATTGCGCGGCGTTGCAGATAGGCAAGTAAACGTACATCTCTGTTTGAAATCGTCCATGTTTATTTTTAAGAAGAGAAAATGTATAACAGCTCTTATGCAAAGTGTCGTATTAATATTGTACATACCAATTAGGAAGCTCAAAGATGCCGGAAGTGCCAAACGTGAACACTGTAATAAGTTGATGTTGTCTGTCCGTAGTCCCCGATCGCAATGCAGATGTTGGGGAGCAGCAATTACAAAAATTTCAAAAATGAGGTTTTGATGAAATATTTTTAATTAAATTATTCTGCGTACAATTGAACTAAGGTAAAATACGGTACCTTAAAATGTAATTATAAAATGTTGAAACTACAGAACATTTACAAAACACGTACTTTTCTTGGAGTAAAAAGTAGTAAATAAAAATGCCAACAATTACTGTATATTATTCTCACAGTTACTGCGTTTACGGTTAAGACCAAAAATGCTTAATGTGTTTAGTGCATTTTCTTCTGGTAATATTTCAAGAACCATTGTAAAGTTAATCTACAAACTGATATGGATGATAGTTTCACTGTCATGGAGCATGACGTTTTGGACATGAATATTTAAGATGTCAATGATTTTGGAGGGAAATTATTTAACTGTTATCAATTATTATTCATTATGATTTGTCATCAGTGTTGCCATAATATTATATTGTATAGGAAATACATATTAGCAATGCTAAAATACGAGTAAAATATTATATTGCACTTCATAATATTGTATACTGGTATTTTAATATGGAAATAATGTTACAATGGAAAGCATTAACTTTTTTACGAGAATAATCTCAAAAATAACTTATTTATCCCGAAGTTAAAATGAATGGGAAATGACGGGGGACAGTGTCCTGGATTAAGGGATATGAATATATGATAATATATTGGTGTCATTTATTATTGTAAATATTTTATTGAAATCCACGTGATTGATAAAGGATGCCTTTACTTTTTATAAAATGTATGACTGTTCTCATAAGAATATAATATGTTTTTTGTAATCAACTAAACTTTTTTTTAATTATTAAAACAATTTTTTCTGTATATTTTATGTTTAAATTGAATATAATGTTCTTTAATCAATACATGTAGTAAGTGCATACAAATTATTTTTTTGTTTTGATTTTTCATACATAATATTGGCGACAATGGCCATAAGTTACAATTTACATTTTCTTTTTTTTTATTTGGTTATATTTGGTTGCATTGTTGGTTAAAAAAAAAAAATTAAGATACATGTTGTAGTCGTGCAAGTTGGATCTGTGTGCTGAGTCTAAGGTGTTTGGAATGTTGAGGCATCTGATTTCGTCGATATATTAGAGGCATTCGATGATTATGTAGTGGACTGAGAGGTCAATCCCTCAATAATTGAATTTTGATTTCTCATCTCTTTCCACGGGATATCCATGAGTAAGACGGGTGTGGCCGATGTGAAGTCTATTCACGATTACCTTTTCCCTTATGTTTAGAGGGAGATTAGGCCAACCGAATAGTGTTTTTTTACAACTTTTTTTTAAAAATCATTAAATGTTTTATTTAATCATATAATGCTCACGTGAGTGATAATTGATGCAGTTTTAAAATTGTTGACTTTTTTCATAAGAATTTATTATTTATGCTTTTGTGTTTAATATAATAAATAATATAAATAAATGTAAATTAAATGTTAACATTGCCTGCAGCTTTATAAATGGCGGCAGACTTCGACATCGGTCACGACTTTATATAGATGGCTATCTAGTTGTTGTATATATCTATAGTCTTCACTCATACTCGTTTTTAGATGCCATCATTTATAATTGAATTCAAATTTAACGAGTACAGTACAGTGATTTACCTACTTAACAATGACCAGTTACATACGACGCCAACAACTATACAGTGGATAGGTTATCTACTTGCCCCCTTTTTTTTTGTACAATAATTTTGTTTTTCACTTCTCAAACGCTACCAGATTGACTGCACTTAATTTCCTATTATTTAATTTAATTTAAAGTAAAAATATGATATTTATTCTGAGCACGACGAGCACCTAAAGGAAATAACTGCTGTGCCATGTAATGATTAGAGACTACAAACATGCCGATTTCGGAAGGCCCCAGTTCGACTCGGTTAAGACCCAACACCATATAAATTTCATCAAATGGTCGGAAAACACTTAATCATTAATAGACATTACAGATTATATGTTTATAAGATCGATTTTAACTTAAAATCGTAGTCTCCTCGAGTGTACCATAAATCATGCGGATGTGCTGAAACAACCACTTATATTTTGCAAACAACGAGTTTTCGGTAAAAATGAAGTAGATAATTAAATTCATTATTATATGTAGTTTTCAAAAAGTTGAGTTTCGATGAGAAAACGTCATTTAATGATCGGAAATTAACAAAACACCGAAGACAGTCACAACCACGAAAACGAGTTTGGCTGGAATACGTTTACTAGTCGGTACGGCGCTAGGGATATATAATACCGTTTTTGCAATGCATTATCACAAACGTTACACACGAAACACGATATCGTTTTTGCACCAGTCTACAATTCAAAGAACAAGAGTTTTCATCAGTCATGGCTACAACGGCAACAGCTCAATCTGTATCGGTAGCTCCGAATGCTCCGATGGCGTCATCAACACCGAAGAAGAAAAAGTCGCCGACCACCAAATCGACTGTCGTGCCTGCACATCCCACCACCGCCGTCATGGTGATCGCAGCGATTAAAAAGTTGACGGAGAAGAAGGGTTCGTCGCTGCCGGCCATCAAGAAGTACATATCGACCCACTACAACGTGGACACCGCCAGATTCGCTCCTTTCATCCGCAAGTTCTTGAAAGCCGCCGTGTCCAAAGGCACTTTGGTGCAGACCAACGGTTCCGGCGCCATGGGTTACTTCAAGCTTCCCGAAGTAAAGAAGAAGAAAACCACGATCGCCAAAAAACCAACTGCTGCTGCCAAGAAGATAACTGCTAAAAAACCCGCAAAGGCTGTAGCTGCCGGTACTCCGAAAAAGAGAAAGTTAACAGCCAAGAAAACGCCCACTGCCGCCGAGCCTGCTGCTAAAAAGCCAAAAGCAATTGCCGCTAAACCCAATAAATCGCTGGTCAAGGCGAAAAAGACTGTTGTGACCCCAAAACCGCCAAAAGCCAAAAAAGCCACGGCTGTGAAGAAGACAAAGACGCCCAAGAAGAAATAGTAGACTCTGAGTGTAATGACGCAAATCGTGAACTACTTATAAAATAATTAATAACTAACTACTTGTACCTTAAAATGGTCCTTTTTAGGACCTCCAAATATATATCACTCGATTCTCTCTTAATATGTCGTTCGACATCCTTTTTAATACCATAATAATTATTGTAAACAATATGAATATACACTTGTGCACTGGTATTTCGAAAAGGAGCAAATATTATGTTGCATTCCTTGCTGTATCTACTAACTACTAATAAAGTAGCCCTTTTGGCTGTGCTTCCATCTTCATTTTGAGATTATTTCAACTTCAAATCAATGACAATCGTATAACAATAATAACATTGATTTGTTTTGAATAAATATTATACAAAAACTAGACGTCATAGTTGAGATTTGATTTAATTAAAAAGAGTAACTATATTGAGAATTTATATCTTGAAATAATTTTATTCTTCTCAATATTTATAACCTTTAAAATTCACCATCGAGTAAACACGTTGGTTCTTGTCATTTTGTTGTCAGTTGTGACCCGCTTTTGGAATGTTTTGCTTCGAGTAAAATATGTATTACTTGAGCCTATTAAGCGATAATGTGCTGTACACATTTACCTTCTATTACAATAGCATTGCTGCAAGTTGAAAAAATCTTTTCTCAAGTTTTGGATAGTGATCATTCCTTGTAGTGTGCCCGTCGTTTTCAGCTAAACTAAACAGCTTAGAGCTGCTTTTTGTTATAAATAAAAATTATAAAAGTTATATTTATAAAATGTATATGTTAAGTAATATTATAATACTATTATTGTTGTCATTAATTTATTGATTGATCAATATTATATTTTACAGTTATTTTAAGCATGCTCATATTTTGTCCACATATTAGGTACCTCTACATTTTATATATAATATACCAAATTATTAAAAATGTAATATACAATTTTGCTTTATTTATGTATCTAATTATAATGAATCAAATAATCAATGACAACTATAAAATGGGTTTTAATACATTTGTACTAAATGAATAAAATGAAGTTAATATTAACCCTTTCAGACCTGACTATTTTGTGTAGTATTATAAAAAATATTTTTATAAATTATTTATGGTCCATGTTTATCCATGAATAATTTAAATCCAGATCTGAAAAAAATCGGACAAATATTGAAGACTTATGGATGGTTACACCATAGTGTACCTTGGGATTTAGTGGAAAGAAAAAATATTTTTAATTTTCACATAACAAAAAAATTAACCCCGTTTATTAAAAAAACTTTTCAAATAAAAAAACAATATTAAATTTTCCTTTAAGTAAAAAAAAACTCATAAATATTAAAAAATAAAAAACGAATCGCGTTTACCAAAATATTTAATTATAAAAAACAAACATGTTTATTAAATGTTTAAAAATAACAAAAACAATTCATAGTGGGTAACATCACAAAAGTCATGTTTTAAAAAGATAGAGATTATAATTATACTAGATATTACCCTGCATGATATTTCTCAAAACAGTTACTTATTTTATCTAAGCATAGATGACGGTCACACTTAGGTATAATAATGTGTTCTTCTTATCCACTTTTCGTTTTTACACTTAGTAGCATTTTTGAGATTATCAAACCGGGTATGTGGTGTAGTCCGTCAAAACGACTTTCTTTAGTTGGTTGAACAGAGTCAATTTTGTTTTTCTTAAACGGTGGCACTGGAATTGGTAGATGCTCTCCTGATGGACGTCCTCTTATTTTGGGAGTGATGGGTTTTCCGACTAAAATTAAAGTTTCAGCTAATTCCATTCGAAAATCCATTAATCCATTTTTTTTTTCTTTGGTACTTTTCAAATTTTAGCCACTCTTTTATATTGAATCCAACAGTTAGAAATCGCCATATCGAATGCATGCATAATCATTCTCGGGGTCTATTTTCTAGATCGTATAAATATACGATAATAACTTATAAGTTGATCTTATTTATCAACACCATCCATATTCCATTGATTTATTATATAACCTCACTATTTTGGGCCTTTCAATATCAATAAACCGTTTTTATTTTTTGTCCCAACGAGTTACACGGTCTACTTCTCCAGATGCTAAGAATGTTGATCATAAATTGACGGCTATGATGTCGAACCATTTTACAATGCCAATATTACAACCAAGTACCTACATCTGTTGTTATCTCGAATGTGGTTCCTCTGCCCAGTTTACGTATTTCTTTGTCACTCAACAATGATGGGTTAGCAAACCAATTTGTTCAAATTGTCCCAGAAACATAAATTTGAAGTTGATGTAATATTTCAAACAAGCCAAATGAAGTTAAAAAAAATTATCAAAAAATAAAAAACGTCGATATGGCTTCACGTTTTGCGTAGGATACAACACAACACTAGCTCCAGAACCAATGGTTTTTATTAAGTCTTGGTTCAGTTCATAATACCCTTGGAACTGTAAAATATTATAAATCGTTCCACTTTCGCCACATAATAGAAAAACTTTTAGACCCCATTTAATAGGGTTACCCTACATATATTGTTTTAGATAGTTGCCTTTTGAAGGGAACCATCAACTCGTCGACACACAAGTTTTTTTCCATTGGTAGACTATTAAATTTTTTTGGTAGAGCAGTATACAACGGCCTGACTTTTATAAATTTGTCTTTGTTTCCATTAGGAATTTCATTATTGTTGACGATATGTAAGCAAAATATTACGCAAAGAAAAAAACCTGACTCGGGTCATATTTTGAGCAATTAAATTTACTTCAAAATGTTTTTGCCAGTACAAACGTACACGTGGATATTTTACACTTTTTGGTTTGGTTGAAAAGGTTCTTAGCCCCTAAGTGGTTAAGCATCGCCTTAAGTATGAGTTGCTGGTCGAAAATGTATTCAAGCAATCAATGCTGCTGTGTTAAAAAACTTAAAATACACAAATGTCATGTACAAAATAAACTGCATTACCGTATGGTCGTATGGAGACGGCTAAACTACTCAAGTCGCGTTCCAAAATGAGTATGCCCCAGTCAAGCCTTAGTCAGGTTTGATGTAAGTACAGCTTATGCAAATAAATCATTAATTGTTTGACGTGGTAATAGGTGGTGGCTGAGGAAGTTGACCAAGGGCACAATGCCGCCTTGCTTTGTTTTTTTTTTTTTCGTATGGCTGAGACGTCATGCTTGTGAAATGTCAGCTATTGAGTTATACAAAACCACACAAAAAAATTGTTCAAGTTTGGAATAATGCATTTTTAAACAATAAGAACTTCTCTTGTATTTGTGATATCGAAATAATAAAAACGATATTTTGTAGTAAATGTTCTCCTCTTAATAGTATACAAAATTGGTTCCCTTGTTTGAACTACAGCTTGAGTGGTTCTATTTCGAGTAAAACAGTTTTTGCTATGTTGTACGTTTGTACGACGGAAACAGTGCATGCGAGTGTGATGTTCTCATAATATTATTATTTTATAATCATCCTAAATCGTACAAAGTAAGACCTGTTTCAGAACATAATAGACGACGTCCACCACGTTGACATTTTATACGTACATTTTATACTATACGATGATTATTTCCAACACAAAATAATCATTTTAGATGGGATTGTCAATAATTAAGACATATCAAGTTATTAAATCGATGATATTTTTGTTCCAATAGTGAGAATAGCCAAATTTTCAGTCATACTTTTGTTTGTCTCGTGGAGAAACATTTTAGTGACAGTAAGTATAAATAATTTTAATTTTGTGGTGCTTTCGATAATATTTGGAAACGTTGTTGTACCAAGTAGGAAGACTATGGGACACATCGGCCACATTCCTAATGAAATACTTAATAATAGATTTGTAGCAACGACTAAATATTCGGTATTCATCCAGACGGTCAATTTATTTTATCATTTGTTTAAATTCATACTAAATTATTAATAGTTATAAAAGATTTGGTAAAGTGGACGTCACGCCCGTGTGTTGTACTCGGTCTTACTACGAGCCGTTCACCAATCACCAATTTCAATATAGTAGTACTGATTTTTAATGTGATATTAATTATGATCATTGTAAAAAGTATAATAGCAAAAACGCCATAACGTAAACAAAAATATAAGTTAAAAATTAATAAGACCAATGCAGGTGTGTCTTGTATTATAATGTAATTTATGCATTGATGTATATTATACGCAATGGTGAATTTCTCCCTGTCTCCTGGATAATCAATCATTTTATATGGTGGCCTTGAGAAGGGCCTTTTGATAATTGTTATTAAGGTTCACAAAGTTGAAGTAATTTTGGTAGGCTTTTTAACCTCCGAAACCATACAGAGTACGGCCTTGTCGTTTGAGAGCGTATACGACGTCCATGGCGGTGACGGTCTTCCTTTTGGCGTGCTCTGTGTATGTAACGGCGTCCCGGATTACGTTTTCCAGAAACACTTTCAACACTCCACGGGTTTCTTCGTAGATCAGACCGGAGATACGTTTCACTCCTCCACGGCGGGCTAAACGACGAATGGCAGGCTTGGTGATTCCCTGGATGTTATCACGCAACACTTTGCGATGACGTTTGGCGCCTCCTTTTCCCAGTCCTTTTCCTCCTTTACCGCGTCCAGTCATTTTTGATTTTCTGTAGTAGCGGCAGCTGCTTAATAAATGAACTGCTACTGTTGCTGCTTTGGACGCTGAAATTTGACCCCTTATGACATAGTATCGTCTTATTTATACGTTTCACGGTGCGCGTACGGCCAATCGGAACGCTCAATCGGATTTCTCCCACTCTTGAACTAACCGTGGCGGTTACAACCAATGAGGACGACGTATACGGTACCGATTTTCGTATATATACCGGTCGGCCGTGTGTTCGAAGCGCATCAGTCGTTCGTTAATTACGTTTTGAAGCACATCTCAGCATAATCAAAATACAGCAGCGCAATGGCACGTACCAAGCAAACAGCCCGTAAGTCTACCGGCGGAAAAGCGCCCAGGAAACAGTTGGCCACCAAAGCCGCACGTAAGAGCGCACCTGCCACCGGAGGAGTGAAGAAGCCACATCGTTACCGTCCGGGAACCGTCGCTCTCCGTGAAATCCGTCGTTACCAGAATAGCACTGAACTGTTGATCCGCAAATTGCCGTTCCAACGTCTGGTTCGTGAAATCGCTCAGGACTTCAAAACGGACCTGCGTTTCCAAAGCTCCGCCGTCATGGCTTTACAGGAAGCCAGCGAAGCCTACTTGGTCGGTCTGTTTGAAGATACCAACTTGTGCGCCATTCACGCCAAGCGTGTCACGATCATGCCGAAAGACATCCAATTGGCTCGTCGTATCCGTGGAGAACGTGCTTAATATTATTATTATTATTACCTTAAAAAGGCCCTTTTCAGGGCCACCAAAAATTACGTACCATTTGGTAATTGAAGTTTGTAAGGTCACCAACGGTCATTTGTCGAAAGTGAAGCATTTTTATAATATCTAATATTTACATTTTACAATATAGTTTAATAACATTTATTTATACAATTTTTAGGCGTACATAAATTATAATTATAATTTCCTTTGCGTACAATATTCTAATTATTATAATTTTACCAAAATACAATACTAATTATAAGTTTTTAAGAGTGGTAATAAAAATTATATCTGACCTTTTAATTAAGGTCCTTTGGATATAACTTTGGCAAGAAATAGTTTATAAATATAAATTAATTTGTCCAGAAGTTAAATAAAAGTAATCGACTAATGAATAAATCATTAATCAATAGGTCGCATTCTATGACCTGCCAACCTAGTCACAATTTTTTGTAGCAAAACTCCTTTTGGCGATGTAATGGAAGTTGGATTCATGTGCTCGATTGTTGCGATCAAGCAGCGTTATGTGCAAGCCTTCCTCTGAACTAAAGTTTCTTTGGTTATAGAAAGGGCAAGGCCGTAGCCAGGGGGGGTTAGGGTTCAGACCCCCCTCCCCAAAATTGTTTTTGAAATAATATTGAATAGTTTTAAATGCCTATTATATTTGATACGCGTCACTGTGATTACAACACAAAAAAATAAAACGGCTTAACGGTATATCTTATATTTATATTGTGTTAGATAGTGATAACTAATCTTAATGTACTTTTGTAAAACCTAATAATAGCTCACATAATACCTACAGTATCTAATCTTAATTAAGATTCACCCCCCCCCCCACCAGAAATATTTTAAAGCCATAAAAATAGTAAGAAAAATCCTAAAAAATACGACTTGCTACATTAAAAAAGCACTAAAAACTTTGAAAATGTGTTTAAATTCAATATACCACAATTTCAAACTTATAAAAAACACATCATTATGAAAAATGTATCTGATAAAAAATTTTTAAATACAGTAAAAACTTCTCTTGTCTTCTCAATCATCTTCTTTTACCCTGATAATTATTACAGAAAAATAAATAGGTATACAATCATTATATAGTCATATTCATTATACTTTTACCTTGTGTTTCATAATAGCACTGTGTACTAAGGTGCTGCTTAAACGTAAATGAACGCAAACGACAAACATCTGAATTTTTGGCCTTAGTCATTTTAAACTAGATGAATTTACAAATATCACTCGAGACTATACCACAGATTATATTAAAAATTATATATATATATATATATATAATATACAAATAGTTAATTTTAAATTAAATTGTTTTTGTTTTTCCAACACGAACTCAAAAATTTGACTGATGGACGATAGCCTTTTTTTCATCATACTCCAGTGGACCTGCTTTAAAAACGAAATTCAGAGTGTTATGAGAATAACGTGCAAAAAATTTTGAATTCCAGGAGTACTAAGGTTTTCTTTGGTTCCTATAAAATTGAAATTGAATGACTTAATTTATAGTTTTTAAAATAGCCAATTCAATTATTTAAAAGTAGAAAACTTAAAAATTAATAAATGTTTAATAAATACACATGATGCCGATAGTTGTCTACGGATTGTTAAAAATATGACAATATGTTAAATAATAGTATTATGGAATTTGGCCGGTAAACAGCGACAATATGAGCTATGATAACCGGGGATAGTTACAGCCAAATAATCTAAGACCATGGTCTTGGCTGTTAGGGATTATTAATAAAAAATATATTGAATAGTTGAAATACTTTTAACAAATGTTATTTTTCTAGAACCATCAAATTTTACATTTTTAAAAATAAAGAAAAACCTTTTATTTATTCAATAATAGTTAACATTTTCTGTAGTGGTAAAATTATTGTCAATTCAACACGAATAACGTAATCATGTTTAGTATTCCTTTGTAACAAAGTGTTGATATGACTTAGCCTTTGTAATCCATTTGGTACATTTTTGTATGTCGGTTAGGGTTTGCTGCACTGTATAAGTCCCACCTCGAAAGTCCCAATAAGGCAATAACTGATTTCTAAAGCATTAAATTCTATGGACAGTTATAATTTTGGGCATGTCAACATTTTCAAATTTGGTGGCCCTGAAAAGGGCCCTTTTAGGTCAGTAAGTATTGTAAACGATTTGAGTAAGCAAATTATTTAGGCTTTCTTCTCGGTCTTCTTGGGCAAGAGCACAGCTTGGATGTTGGGCAACACACCACCTTGGGCGATGGTTACTCCGGACAACAATTTGTTCAATTCCTCGTCATTTCTGATCGCCAATTGCAAATGTCTGGGGATGATACGAGATTTCTTGTTGTCACGGGCGGCGTTACCTGCCAACTCCAAAACTTCAGCTGCCAAATACTCCATGACGGCGGCCAAGTACACTGGTGCTCCGGCTCCGACACGTTCGGCGTAGTTTCCTTTTCTCAACAATCGATGGATACGACCGACCGGGAACTGGAGTCCGGCACGGGACGATCTGGTCTTGGATTTTCCTCCCTTCGATTTTCCTGCTTTACCACGTCCAGTCATGATTGTTATTGTTGTGCCTTGTAGTTTCAATGTAATACTGAATAGAACTGTTTGTCGAGATTGCCTAGATATCAGCTTATATAGCTAAAATGAAAGTACCAATTCTGTGATTGGTGGAAAAAAAATCATTACGACGAGTAAAAATAACACCGTTTTGTATAAAGTTGCTGATTAAATATGTTGTTTTCATTCAGCATTCATGTAAAATATACTTGTTGAGAAACTGTTGTTTTCAGGTTCTGTTAACGAATCAACCGTACTTTTTATACTATCAAAAGTGTACCGTTTTGACCAATCAACAAATGATATATCCCTTGAATTTGTGAATATATACCGACCGTTATGAAATCAAATCATCATTCTGTTCACATCAGTTCAGTCGTTGACATTAGAAAATTTTCAACTATTCAAAATGGCTCCAGGAGGAAAATCGGCAGGTAAAGCGATGAAGAAATCGTCCGGCAAGGCACAAAAGAATATCGCCAAGTCCGACAAGAAGCGCAAGCCCAAGAGAAAAGAATCGTACGCCATCTACATCTACAAAGTGTTGAAGCAAGTACATCCCGACACGGGTGTGTCATCCAAAGCGATGAGCATCATGAACAGTTTCGTCAACGATCTTTTCGAGCGCATCGCCACCGAATCTAGTCGTCTGGCACACTACAACAAGCGGTCGACCATTACTAGCCGGGAAATCCAAACAGCCGTCCGACTTTTGTTGCCCGGTGAATTGGCAAAGCACGCCGTCAGTGAAGGCACCAAGGCCGTGACCAAGTACACCAGCTCCAAATAAGTCTCTAGTTTTTGAAATAATATTACTCTACCAAAACGGCCCTTTTCAGGGCCACCAATCTCAATACATTTTTTTTGTTGCATTATATGATATTTATTTTTACATTAATTTTTCCAAGTATATGTAATATATGACGTTGATGGTGTTTTTCTCTAGCTAATAATTATTGTTCAATAGGAAGATATATAAAAATTTTATTATTAGCCTAAACATTCGTAAATAAATGAATAACCGATTATTATATTTAAACCTAGGTAGATTTGATAATTAGTGTAAAAATTTTTATAAATAATCAGTATATACTATATGTATACGTAATCAAATACTAAATAAATACTATATCTCAACAAGTAACGATTTGATTTCAACCGCTATCCATAACGATTAACGTTGTGATAACAGACGATAACAGTATCGAGTGATGATAAACATTTATAATGATAACAATAATGCACATTGCACACGATAAAGTAAGTTGCAGTCTTTAGTCAATAAATAAAGTTAACAATTCGGCATTCAGCTGAACAAAAATATAGTTAAATTATTTAAGTAACCAAGCCGAAGTTGGTTTTGCTGTACCTGTTAATGAAATAATAATATAAACGAAAGGCGTTGATTTAATATAATTATGATTAGTTTGTTTCAATTTTAAATTATTAGGACTTACCTAGGTGCGTTAAAATCAAATTTACATTCAATAATTATTTGCTCACACATTTTTCCAATAAATATTGCATGAAGTATTGATTATTGTCTCTTTAAACAGAATTATCTGATTTCAGGACAATTTACGGTGCACCCTCAGTGTTAAATGTTTTTCACATACCTAATTAATTTGATGACATAAAGTATATCGAAAAACAACTATGATATCAGAAATTAATGCAGCTATTGAACAAAACAATTTCCAACGAGTTAAAGTCTTAGTTGAAGCTATCATCGAACAAGTGAGTTACATTCATTGTTTTAGTGCTCCCTGATTGTATTACTTATCATATTCAATGCATAATAATGTTAATATTTTTGATTACAGCACTCAAATACATTTAATTTTGACACCTATCATGCTGACAATACTTTCAAACAGTTATGGGAATCTATGTTCCTATGTTTGGGTGTGGACAGTTACAAATGTATTCACAAACAATGTTTAACATGCATTCGGCTTCTGAGGTAAACTTGTCTTGAAATAACAAAGTAATTCATTCCTGCCCAGTGTCAAACCATAATGAACATATTAATAAATGTGTTATTATGTTATTATTTTTAATATCATTATGTTATGTTATACCCTTACCATTTTGCTGGTTACTGAATTGGCTTTCTGTCATCGCTATGGCTAATGTGTATTGTGATAAAACAATTATTTAGTTATTTTATTTATATTTTTATCAATTGTTAACTATGATAGTCCCTACTAAATTTTATAGTACAATTCTAGTTTAGCTCCCAAGCTATTTTTTTTTTTTTTAATTGAAATCACATATATTTACCGCGGACAATTAAAATCCAAAACACCCCTCGTCTTGGTATGTAAAACTACCTTGGGTAGGTCTCAAGAATTAAAACAATATTGGTTAAAGCAACATACACACTCAGTGAAGATAGCCAAGAATTGTCTGTAACCTGTGTAATCCATTGTGTAACTTTATTTCTATACTTCAATTTGTTATAACTTAGAAACTATGAGCCCGAATAACAGAAAAAATTTGAAAAATAGCATGGGAGCTAAACTAGAATTATGCCATGCAATTTAATTGTATACTAAATAATAATAATCAATTAGCCATTACTCTTGGCAGTATATAACTAGATTATGCAACTAAATGGTGACATTACTTTTTAAATATTATTTATCTATATTAAAAATAATACGTTTTTTCTTTATTGTGATTCAAAGCCGAGACAAAACACATTTAAAAGAAATTGTAATTGAACAACAAGTAAACATTCTACTTCAGTGTGCTAATCTTGTTGAAGACACATTATGCATAGTAATCACAGCTGAAAATACAGATGGTAAGTAATCAAACATTTCTATTTTTTAAACAATGAGTTATAATTACTGCTCGAAAATGTATTTTATGAATTTTAAATTTAAATAAGTATACAATTATTCAAAAATAAATGCTAACTAAATTAAAAACTATTTTCTAAATAATGTATGCTAAAGATGTTACAGTACTACTAAATTGTAAATAATTGTATTATGATTTTGTCCTGCAGTTATCGTAGAAGGCCTGAAATGTCTGTGTAATATAGTTTATAATTGTGATACTGCACAAGAAGTATGCTGTTCAAATAAAACTGTTGATTGCATTGTGCTCAGATTAAGAACATATTTTGAACAGAATATTCCATATGTCATAAAATATTTTGACATCAAACTTTTATTTCTTTTAACGGCATTTAACAAGGATATAAGGTTAGACTTATAATGCTTATTTCATTTTTATATTTTAGTGTATTTAACAACTGTTTATTTTAGATTAAAAATCACAGAAGAGTTACATGGTCTCACCTACCTAACAGAAGTCTTGGACAATATATTACGTGACACTATTGAAGATGCATCCAAAAACAATTCTTCTAGCTTACAGGTAACTTACTTATTTACCTACTAAAAAATATATGTTTTAAATAACAACACATGAAAAATATTTACAGGAAGAAAATGTGTTACTCAGCTGTGAAATACTAAAAACTTTATTTAACTTGACTGTAATTCCAATCAGTGATTCGTCTGAGGAAGATGATTATTCAATTTGGATTAGATTGATTTCTATATTACGTGATTTACTTGTTACCTCAACTTTTGTTCCATTATTTCAAGATAACATTATTTGGTATTTATCTTAAACTATATTTTTCAAAAAAAATGTTATTCTTCTTATGTTTTGAACATTGTTTATTATTACTTTAGCAACGTTGTAAACTTGTTGACAAATGTACCACCAACCTGTTTGGATCAATTGCTGGTTAAAAGTCATTGGTGTGATGTTGATGCTTTAAAAGTGATAGTGAATTTTCTAGACAACCGATTGTCTAGTACAGAGGTACTGTATTATAATATACTATAATGATAATTTACATTAATTTTATCTGGTACAATGATTTTAGAATCCATTATATGAGCATATATCACCAGCATTGATGGTATTATTAAAAGGATCAAGATCTATTGCAAAGTTCCGTTGTGAAGTACGACAGCAAATTTTACCTCCTTTGAAAGATGTTATCAATCGACCTGAACAGGGAAACACATTGCGTAATAAATTGTGCCGTTTGCTCACTACACCCAATGTGAGTCTACGTGACTTGGTTGCTGAACTGTTATTTGTCTTATGTAAAGAAAATGGTATGAAACTTATATTATTTGTATTATATTTTTATTAATGTAATTTGAATCATTTTTAGTGGGTCGTATGATCAAGTATACAGGATTTGGTAATGCAGCTGGCTTATTTGCAAATCGTGGATTACTTTGCAAAACATCAAATCCAGATTACTCATCAGATAGTGAAGATAGTGATACAGAAGAATACCTAACATACAAAGACCAGTTAAGTTTCTGTTTTAACTTGTATATGTACCAATAATATGTACATTATCTGCTGTAGGATAAATCCAGTTCTTGGTTGTTATGAACCGCCAAAACCTAATCCATTCGAGTGCATGTCTGTCGAACAACAAGAGCATGAAGTTATGCAGTTGGTTTCTAAAATGGATAAACTCACTAGGTACTTTTTATAAATTATATGTTATTAACTTGTAAGATTTTTATTATTATAAACTATTTAATGTAGAGAGGGAGTGATACAGCCGTGTAAAATTGGTGATGATGGGCGACCAAAACCTATTGAACATGTTCTTCAACTTCAAGAAGAATTAATGAATCATTTTACTAACATTAAAAATAAAGATGGACCAGATGATGAGAGTGATTAAGTCGTTCATTTATTTATTTATTTATTTAATCGTTAATTTATTTTTATTTATTATTAACAAATTTGTAGTCAAACATTTTACTCATAGTATTCATTAGCTTTTAGGTACCTGTATAAAATAGTAACTCTAGGGTATAACTCATATGTGTTCAGGTCTGATGTTTTCAGATTTAAAATTAGTCATTTTAATCTGCCACCTAGTAAATTTGATTATGCACATACTATTCATGAATTTAATTTACAATTGCAATTATTGTTACACATTATTTTAATATATTTTATTTTCAGAAAGTGATTTTTAATGTAAGACACTCATTGTTTCAGCCAATTAAAAAAAAAAAAATTACCTAATTTAGATTTTTTTTCTTAGTCTGAAATTAATAAATTTTGATGTATAAATATTATAATATTCAACCATTAATATATTAATAACAGTAAAAGTTTAAAAAAGCCTATACTCTAGCCCAAGAGAAGTAAACCGTTTTACGCATAACGCATGAAGCTGGAGTCAGTGATTATCATGTGGTATCATTCCCCTCTACCACTCTATACATAGAGTTCAGTATTCCTGTACTTGGGTGTTTAGTGCAGTTAAATATATTAAATATATTTATACCACAGAAGAATAATGTTTATATATAGCTGATTGTGACCATATAGGATTAAGGAACGTGCATTGGTCACGAAATTGGGTAGTGAAAGAAAGATGAGGAACCACAAACTCACGCCATTGTTTGGTTGTGGCACGGTTTTTCTTTTCTTATGATTAACCGGAATATAGTTGTTGAATAAATATTCTTAGGATGTCTCTTCAACTATTAAAAAGTTAAATATTTTAAAATTTCTAACAATAGACTATTGATTCAAAGTTCAATATTTTTACAAAGATATTTTCTATTTCGTGTTATGAAAACAAAAAATAACGTTGACAAATTTACAACAAATTATTATGTTGGTAAATCTCAGAATTATACTGCAAACATGAGTGTCTTTAGTTCAAAAAAAAAATAATATATACATATATTTTAATTGTATAACTCAGTTTTTTTCCTCTTTATTACATTAATCATGGTACCAAGAACTCACGTCTCACTTCATATTTCAAATCCCAAACAATTTGAAAAAGAAATTATATTATATAATTATTATTTTAAGTCATATTTAATTGTACAATACATTTTTAAATATCTAAGATGTTATTTTCGTCTGGCCATTAGAATTTAAGATGCTCAGTAAATGAAAGTATTTTTGCTGCATTATATATTATAATTCTCACAGATTGTACACTTTTAAGTTAAAATGCAAGAACTTCTTTTAATTCATTTCATAAAATACATTATTTTAAGTTTATAAATAATGAATAATTCTTGTTTCTAGTCAAATGAAGGTTTAAAATTGCTTTGTATAATTCTTGTTGTTTGTATTGGAATATTTGATTGAAATTCCCTCAATAACTAAACATTTTACAGGGTTCAATAGAATGCATAAAAAGTAATTTAATAATAATATTTACAACACACTAACTACGAACATTTAATTTTGTTGATTAAAATATAATAATGACCATGCTACATGTGTGTATTGCTCGGATGCCGAGATGTACCCAACATAATCCCCATCACCCATTTCATTTCAAGAAACAACACATAATATATTATGCATGCCAAAAACAATCACTTTAAAATAGCTAATAAGTGGAGGGTTATTTTGAACACAGCAAACAATTAAAGTAGCTCTGTCCATTATATATTATGGATTATCTCTGCAATATTTTAACATTAAAATTATCAAGTTATTTTAAGTGTTGAATGACCTCTCTGTATTTTTAAATAAAAACATAATTTATACTCAGCAAATGTAATTAAATTTAAATATATTTTACGAAACACAATTAATATTTAAACAATATTACTAACTACATAAACTACTGTATGCCATGAAATAACAATATTTTTATTAATATTCATTTATCGATATTATATTTTCACTGCTATCCAAATTATTAATTTCAATGAGAGGCCAATTATCATCAGATTTCTGTCCACGGTAATTATATTTCATGTAGTCTGGCTTCTCCTTGCATATAGACATGTACGCCTCACTGATACGACCGAATTCACTGACAGTTAATTGGAATGGTCTTGTGCTTGGTTCTATTGCTGCGGCAGTTAATAATTCACTAGAAAGTTGTTCTCTGACTGGTTTAGGAAATAGTGTCCTTTAAAGTATAAATCAAACAAATAATTACATCCATTCTAATAAAAATAATGTAATTTACTCACTCAACACCCCGAATGCAATGTTTTTGTCTGAAACTAAACACAGACCTGACAACTTTTTCAATTATGTCAAACGGCAAATCAATAATTGGTTTTTTCAGAGGTGTCAGACGCACAACGCCCACATCAACATTTGGTTTTGGAATAAAAGCACGACCTTTAAATAAAATGAAACAATTTTTTCAAAATATAATTTTATTATCATATTTGTTGTTCTAGTCAACTTAGGATATAAATGGCAATTTATAATCTAAAGTAGAATACTTTTCAAAATATGTTAACATTTTGCTGGACAAAACACAAGTTTCTTGCCACAAATTTAAATAATACTATAGATTGTAATTTAGAAAATTAAGATTTTAAACGAGGATAATCTATAAACAACAAAGATGAATGATGAAGAGGATAATTGAACAACCTTAAGGATTAAATGTCAAATGTAATACGTCATGTATTCATTGTGCTTTTTAAATTATAAAGGAACTATCATGCCAATTAAATTTTTTTTTGATTTTGAACTATTGTTGTCTCATCAACACAAACCACTTATAAATAAGTTTACTCTTAGCTTATATGCATTAAAAATTGAAAATAAAAATGTGTTCAACATTACGATAATTTCATCTAAAATTTTGGTTAACCATTAATGTTTGTAGAAATTATGTGGTAATCGAGAGTCAAAAATTGATCAAACAAATTGCAAATTCATGAAATTTAAAAAAATTCTCATAATAATTAAAGGAATTCTCAAAAGATTCATTTAACTCCAAAACATTAACGTTAAGTATTTTTTTTTATATAATTTTAAGTTGATTAGGAATTTTTTGTAAATTATAATGATCATTTTAAAATTTTTACTTTATTAATAACAAATATTTTTAAATCCTCATTCCAAAACAGAATATAATTTTTAAATTGTACAAAAAGTTAAAGATTTATAAGTATTTAAAGTTTACATTTTTAATGGAATGGTGTAGAATAGGGGTACTACACAAAATATTGTTCCAATAATTAGCTCATCTTAACTTAATACTTATAACTAATAAGCTACTTGTCTAAAATTTGATTAAATATGATATAGAAATATTCCATAATATTCTGCTTTGAAATATGAAATTAATAAAGTATATTTTCAATCTAAAAAGTACAAAACAAAATGTCAGCCATAAAAAATATAATTTTTTTCTAAAAATGTAGTTTTGAAATGAATTCAAATTATGTAAAAGAAATATTTTCAAAAACGTTACTTTTATATGAAATAATGGTATTCTTATATTAAATGGAACAATGTTCTGATATTTTTACCTGGAATATTAAATTTATGTTCAACCTGACACCAATTTTGACACATAATCGAGAGCCTACATCTTTCTCTGGTCATTATTGGAGCTGCCATTCTTTCAGCAACTTCTTTTTGAAATGTCAATGTCATGCGTACTCGACCATACCTCCATGCACTTTTCCTGTTAATATAAAAAAATCAGTGAAAATCATAAATAGAACATAAAATATACTACCTTTCCGATATAGCTTTTAACCATCTTATAATAAGAGGCGTTGACACATTAAATGGCAAATTTCCAATAAGATGAATTTGAGGACATTTGTCTTCCCATTCCATTTTATTGTCTTCGTTAAACATTTGTTCTAAATTAAAACTCATTACATCCCCAAATATTAACTCTAATGGCACTGGTGATGATTCAGCCAACAGCTATCACAAATAACGATATAATTTATTGTATTTTTTTCTAACATATCCTCAGTAAGATATAATATAAACAGTATAGATGAAACACCAACCTCTAGAGACGGTGTAAATCGTTTGTCTTTTTCAATCACTAGTACCCTAGAGGGCATGTTTTGAATGATTGATCTTGTTATGTTGCCAGGACCAGGGCCAACTTCACATACTTCACAGTCCTTAACGGATCCTGCTGATCTGACAATGCGGCTAATTAATCTTGGTTCCATTAAAAAATTTTGAGAAAGTTCTTTCATTGCACGTAGTTTATATAGTTTAATTAAATCCCTGATGCTAGGCAGGGGTGGCAGCCGGATAATCCGACTTGCAGACATAATGAATATGTATAATTTATTATTGTTTAACAGTCACTGCAGGTTCCTCAAAATCATCCAAGAATGTTTCCTGTTTTATTGAATAAATAGAATACCCGTAGATGCTCAATGTAATACCACCAAGTAATAAGCCTGTGTAACGAGCGTTTTTACGCATACGATTCAATCTAGTGGCACGGACTAGATTTTGGCGTTCAACAAATTTTATCTGTTGCAATAATCTTTTATCGATTTCACCGTCTTTCATGAAATCAACTTTGGGCATCTGATCACTGTTAGCCATAGCAAATTGAATGTATCAGCTCACTGCTTTCTGTGAAAACATTAAAAAAATTATAATAATTGTATAAACAGATGATAAATTAAATAACTACTGTTCTTAAGTTCAACCGTTCTTCAAAAACATCAGAAAGGTTAACAAACATTTAACATAAGCATTAAGATCTTATGTTCTGTAGCTCGATTCAAGACACCTAAATCATTGATCATTTACATAACTAAGTAGGCCATGATATCTGATGCTACGAAAAATTGAAATATATTATAAAATCATTGAAACAATAAGTTATGCGCTCTAATACTGTTAATCAAGTTTTATAAAATTAAGTACAGAAATCGTTGCGGATAAATTTTGCTATTTTGTAACAATGTGCAGAACGATGAAAATGTAGGCAACCAGGTACCTCCTAATCGACCATTCCAGGAACATGCTGGAGTGGATGATGGAAAAGTAATTTTTTTTAATAATTATAACGTCTTTACCTGTGTTATACTTTTGATATTGGTTGACACTAATTGCTTTTAAATATTGTAATCCGTGCAAGTGCGTCCAATAAAAACGTAAATTAGTTTATTATTTTATTTAATAAATAAGACTTGAGACCGATAATTTATTATTATAGTACAATTTATATGCCTATGGCGATCTATGATCTAGAACGTGCGTGTTTTAGAACTTTAACTTACACAGTACAGTTGCACAACGAGGGTAATCCGGCAATCGGTCAATGCAGCACCATCTGCTTTTACGTAATCTGTAAAATACTTAAAATGTGTAATAAAAGCATAGAAGTATAGAAAATATTTAAAACAGCCTTTTTCTGATAATGATACTATTTCAGCCACGGTTAAAGATATACATATATATATCTTTAATCGTGATTTCAGCGGGTTCAGCGTTGAAGTTGTGAACGAGTTTTTCAACGATAAATCCATATGATTATATGATGTTATCCTAATCTTTAACCTAATAATAATAATCATAGACATATAATAGAATATTATTATATGTCTATTATATGTCTATGATAATAATCCTAATCATTGTTTGATAAAATCTTACCCATTATCTCAATAATTATAATTTATCTATTTATTAAACCTTTTGAAATTACCAAATACGTACTTTTTGAACCTTTTATGAAGGAAACTTTTTAGACAATCATTATATATAATATATTTGCACTGTTAAATAACCACAATAATATTACATCTTGTCATTTTTTCTATGTATAATGAAGATATTGTCGTTCAAGATCTATAATAAAAATCACAATTATAATAGCCATAAATTTGTTATTTTTATACACCAATTTGTTGTAGTTTTGATAAAGTAGTGAATAAACAGCAAATAAAAAAATATTCGTAACTTTAAAAGTTCCGATTTTCAGAATCCAATATTAATTCTAGAAAATAGTTCAATGTGTAATGTTTTTTTTCTGTTAAGCACATTATTCTAGAAACTTAAATTTTACATGTTAAAAATAATCTTCAATTTAAAACTATAAATTGTTTATATGAGGTTTTTTCTTTGGCTCCTTATTCTAGAAACATGTTTATTTAAATAAAGTGTATTTAAATATAGCTAATATTAAAATGTATGTTGTAAAAAAGTTTCAAATATTTACTAAAAAAAAAACCACATATTATTTATTTATGATAATATTTACAAAATTAAAGTGTTTAGAACTACAAAAACAACAATTTTAATATTTTTCAACAACTAATTCTAGAACACGATTCATGTTGGACACCAATTTTCTGGAATCATTGATAAGGCCCGCTGTCACCATTGAATTACTGTACAGCTGGATAAACAATAAACATAAACAATGCTTATAAGATTAAAATATAATATATAATATTTACCAGACTAAGATATAATTAAATATTTGATATAAATAAACCTCTTTTAGCGTCTAGAATATTCATAAGCCTTTTGCATATAAAAAGTTTTGAATACATTTAGTGCTTAAAGAATACTTCTATAGTTTTTAGATACATGTTTTTTATTCAATCATTATGATATTGGAAACATTAAGTGTATAATATGAAAAATTATGTAAACACAATCACTAAAAAAAATAATAAGAAGAACAACTAAATTATTAAGTTAAGTTAAAACTGACAAATTAGTACAATAATATGTGTTCAGGGAAAACAAATTAATTTAAATAATATAATGTATACTTATTGTTTTAAGTAAGACTTGTAGATGGAAATAAAATGGCTGACAATATTATATCAACATTCAAGTGTAATAGCAATTCAAAGAGGAATACAATATCATTCAAGTCATCTATGTTTAAAGATTATAAAGATAAATTTAAATTGTTTTGTTTTAATAACTATTATAAATGTATAACAACAACACATAATATACTACGAACATAGCTTGAAGATGTTAGATTACAAACAATATATAAGGATATGACTGTGCATACAAAAATCACCAAGCATTTATTGAATCAATAGTAAGCTATCGCCTATCGGCCCATTAAACATGATTTAGTAGCTCAATATTTAAGTGGACCACTAAAAATTCAATTTTTAATGCAATCTCAAAATAATATACAAAAGTATATATTGCAAAGAGCAAAGGTGTGACATATTATGTTAGTTTTATCTAAGCAAAAGATATTTTAAGCTCTTCATAAAATGTCTTGTACACTTATTAAAATAATTATTGAAATAATTAATGATTTTTTTAATTGAAAAATATTATTGTACTTCATCCATAACTAAATAGATTATTTTAATTTAATTGTTCACACTTACAAATGTATTCAATTATTTATATTTTATAGAAAAATTGTGATTACTCATTTCAGATTTAAATACATAGGGAAATATATTTTACCTGTTCAACAATTAATTTAGCTAATTCTGGATTTGATTCTTTAAGTGTGTGCAATTTCTTTATGACTGAATGTCTAAAAACAGATAGTTGTTAGATACACTTATAAATATTTGTTGAGATCAATTACTTAGGATTGAGTTCAAGTTGAGGCTGAAGGACTGAAAATAACATCTCCTCGTCCATTTGTTTCAGTTGAGTTTTAATAAAATGTCTGGCAGCTGTCATATCATCAACAGTAATTACACATGGATGGCTGTCTAATTGTCCAGTAATTTTTACTTTTTTTACTTTATTACCCAATACGGATTCAATCCATGGTAATAATTAATCTAATTGTAACTGACTCAAACTATCATTACCTATTATACAGACATTTAATGCAATTAAAATGTATTTAGTTTTACTCTAATAACTAATTATGTATAACACACCTAATTCAACTGTTTGAGAACTTTGATTATTAGCCGCATTAATTTCTTTTTCTACTAAAGTGAGTTTGACATTCTTGAATGTTTTAACTTGATATAAAATGATTTCATCATGTTGTTCATAACAATATATAACTTCAACGTTTTTCTTCTTTAATGCTTCGATGTATGGAGAACTTTCAGCTAAAGCACGGCTATAACAAATGATTAAAAAATAAAGTTTAAAAATAATTATTATTTTATATTAAAAATTTATTTATATTACTTAGGAGCAGATAAATAGTAAATATCATTTTGACCTTCTTGTCTTCTCTTGATGTAATCTTCAAATGATGTTGTTTCACCAGGTTTAGTGTACGATGATTCATATCTTAAAAGGCCAGCAAGCTCTTCCTGTAAAATTATAAAATTGAAAAAGCTTCCTATGGCCATTGTTTTGTTTGGTTTATCTAATTTAGTATACATTTCTAATCGCTAATAATTTAATTTTTGTTGATAATTATTGTTAAGACATCTTTAATTCAAGAGAGAAATATTTGGCAAAATAAGAATGCGATATAGCATCACTATGAGTAGCAACAAAAAAGTAGATTAAAATAATAAAGTACAAACGCGTTCTTTGGGGTCATCATTTGTTACAACTCCTTCTTTGATAAACACACCATAGTCCTGATAAAACTTCATGTATTCATCAAGATCTTTTACAGATTTATCGTGCAAGAATTTAACTATTTTACTAGTCAATAATTGATTCAATTTTCTGGAAATAAAATAAAATAGTTATGCTGAAATTAAATATTTTATCAACAATTCATACCTTAGTAATGAAGAATTTTGTAACATTTCTCTACTTAAATTTAATGGAATATCTTCGGAATCAATAACACCTACAAATAATATTCACAATTAGATTATGTTATATTTAAACATAGGAGTATTAAAAAATAAAAATTATAAATTATTTTATAACATGATATAAAAGTCAACAGCTAATCATTTGAAATTACCTTTTACGAAACGAAGCCATTTGGGTAATACATTTTCAGCTTCTTTTTTAACCAAAATGCGTCTAGTATAAAGTGATACACCTTTAGTTGAACTATCATAAAAATCAGTCTGACCTATAAGAAACAAAATAAATTACCATCTGAATTTTACTTTTGGTTTTGCTTGTAGTTAAATACCTGGCGCTAATTCTGGGAAGTATAGCAGTGCTCGCACTTGAATAGGAGCTTCGGCAGAGTAATGCAACACAAATCTTGGCCTATCATAAGAGTTAGCTACAAATTTGTAGAATTCGTCATGTTGTTCTTTGGAAACAGATTTTGGGTTAAGTAACCATAATGGCTAAAATAATTTAAAAGTTACATAAATAATTTAATAACCACTGAAAAATGTTATACTTACTTGGATGGTATTAATTTCAGAACCATTTAATTTAATAGGAGAATTTACAAAATTGCTGTATTTGTTAATGACACTTCGAACGGTATCTTCTGAAGCATATTCGCGACAATCTTGTTTAAGATACATGACAATTTTAGTACCCCTCTCAATATTATCAGACTCTATTATTTCATATTCATTTGTTCTAAGACAGTATCATCAAGTATAAGTAAATGTAATAATTTAAAACAAAGATTTTAAAAATTACCCATCTGATTTCCACAGGTATCCTGTAGCATGAGGGTTCATTGATTTAGTGAAAACTTCTACTCTATCAGCCACCATAAAACAGCTGTAAAAGCCAACACCAAATTGACCTATGATTGACGATAAATTTGTTGCTTCACTTTGCTGAATATTTTGCAAGAATGCCTAAACAAATTAAATGTATATAGCTATCTAAAGCCATTTTTGTATTTGATATTAAATGTACAAAAATGTTTACTTTAGAACCAGATTTAGCAATAGTACCCAAATTTGAAATTAACTCTTCCCTAGTCATTCCAATTCCTGTATCTTGAATTATCAATTTTCGATTTGTCTTGTCGGTGGTTATGTTTATGTCTAAACTTCCAAGGTCATGAGATTCGCCTGCTTTTAAACTAACATAACGTAATTTTTCCAAAGCATCGCTAGCATTTGAAATTAATTCTCTGATAAAAACCTAAATGCATGGAATATATTATTAGATAAGTTCTACTGCAAAATTATTATCTGCAACAATATAAAATATCTCTTACTTCTTTTTCAGAATATAAAGATTTGGCTACAATATCCAACAACATACGAGTCTCAGCTTGAAATTCCAGTTTTTCTGTAATACCAATAATTATAATATAGTTAATTTACGCAATAAGACTTAAATTATCTATTATATCCATAGTCTTATTATAAGATCATAACTATATCCTACCTGCACTTGGGTTTTTTTCGTTCACGATGTCGTCCACTTTTGGATTAGCTGCAAAGTTTCTAATGGGCACACCTATAAAAAATAATTGAATAATATTATATTATATTATGTATGTTACATTGATGTTAGAAAACTGATAGTTTGCTTACTCAATGACAATGGTACATTACTCTGTCTGAGGTTGTACAGTGATTGTCCGGTGCTCCTAAAACGCCAAACATTTCTGACGAGTTGATTTCTGAACAATTTAAGAGCCGTCATTGAAGACATTTTGTGTTCAGTTAAAGATAACTTAATTGGATACTACTTTTCAGGTAGGTACTTTTCAACACTTAATTTTTTGATTTTTGAACTCAACGTGACTTAATAGTCACCTTAATGTTGCACGTCTTGGTCTTTAGTCTAATGTGGTCTATTAAATGTGAATCGTGATAACCATGAGCATAGTTATTATCAGATAAAAATTCACCGGCGCCTGGCTACTAGAGTACCATTGATGTGGTAACATGGTCAGTAGTCGGCGGTTCATTATCAATAAATTAATTACATGGATAATTCTTTGGGAAACAACTAGGTATACAAGTTTAAATTATCGACCTCCCGAATTTTTAAATATTTTTTTTTGAAACTTAGTATAAAGAAGCGGGTGCCGTGTAGAATTTACCGAAGGTCGCTGTAATGGTTGGTATTAAATTTGAATTCAATTATATCATTTCATTCTATACGAAAAACTATTCTGTACGGAGACAATGTCAATATAGGATATTTTATACTGTTATTACTTATTAATATCGTAACCAGTAAGTTAAATCTTGTTTTAAATTTCCAATCCTTAGCTATAATAATCGAAAATTGTATATATTTTTAAGTACAAAATCATTTTTCAATTTTCAATATTATAAATGTTGTCAAAATTTAAACTTAAAATACTTTTAAAAAATACGTGCCTACCTATGTATTTTTGTATTATTCAACTGCTATTGTAACAATTTATCAAGAGCCTTGTATTAAATTATTATGCTTTTTGACCCAACTAATAAAATTGTATTGACATTTATAGGAAAAAAAATGAAAATTGAAAGTGTTAATCAACAGCTTAAAACGAGTCATAGTATTATGAAAATTGAATAAAGTATAAGAATTGATAAAATAAACATATGTTGTAAACTTGTAAATTTTAAGTGTCTACAGTTATTCGTTTTTGAATTACAATAAAATACTTAAACCTCTACATGAAAAATCGAGTGAATATTCAATGTTGTAAGAATTTCAACTTCAAACGCTCAAAAAAATTTAATTTGACTTTCCGGTAAAAAGTTTCTGTATAGTTTTTATTATGCATTTCTAACTTGAAATAATTTGATAATTATCGTGATTTTTACGAATTTTATCAAAATTCTAAATTCAAACAATCATAAAAAATCATTGAAGATTTACTCTCAATTTTTTTTTTAATTTTCACTAACATGAACTTTCGAGGAACCTTGTGTTACATTTTCAAGATTATTGAATGAGCGAAAAATGTCTTATCGACAGTAGTTAAAAAAAACAAATAATAATCGAAAATTTCATATGCCTATAAATAGTTCAACAAGAGTCAAAATATTTTGAAAATGTTATGGTGTATAGAAAATTCCAACACAAACATTCAGTGAAAATTTCCTTTATTTGAAGTAATTTTTTTAGAGTTACGTCAAAAACCATAATCGAATTTTTCGAAAACTGGTTTTTAGTAACAATTTCCGTTTTCCCTGTCACTTTTGAAAACTATTGGGAATTTTAGATTTTGACCTCCCGAATGTACCAACTAGAGTCAGCACTCAGCAGATAGAATCATAACTAGATTCACTTTCCTACCACTAAGGTGGTAAAAAATATACTATTTTAAAATAAAATCCATGTGTGATACAACGTGGACATGAGTTAACCTAACAATTGCTCAACTTAAAGCTTACGAAAAAATAAATTAAATGTATTAATTTTATTTTATTGGACAATGATTTGGGGTCATTTTTATATTTTTTATACCCAAATTTTATCATTATTATTAATTATATAAATATAGTTATTTATAAAATTAAAATTATTTAACTATACTTGTTTTGTATTATAATAATATGGAACTTATTATGACTAATAATAAATTATTAATATCACTTAAAAGTAGTAAAATAACAGTTTATACAAAAAGTATTCAAATTGGGTATTGAAACATATATATATTCATCTAACTAATTTATAAGGTAAATATTGACAAATTTAATTTGAATAAATTATTATTAATATTTAAAACCACAATAAATGATTTTTATTAAAATAAATTATAAAATCATAATTCAATTGAATTACATTTATTCATTCTTAATATTTGTTGTAAATGAAACTTAAATTGATAGTTTTTAACTACATAGAATCAATGAATAAATACTTAAATGCATGGTAAATTTATCAAACTATTTGAGTAAGAATTCTTCGCAATTGTATAAAATTAATTTATTATATTGATTGGTATTAGGATAACCTTTTTTAATTCAATAATTGTATTTATTGACTGCCAGCTTAATATAATACCATTTACAATAATTGTAGGTATAATTAATTTAACTCAATGTATTGTTGATTTAACCTAGGTTTTTTAGTTCAGTGCAGCTTGTATTCGAGATCGATGCTTCCGATTCTGGATGAGCGTAGGTCATTATAATAATAGTTCTGACTTCTATAATGTATATTTTGTATGACATGTTCATTGTTCAGTTTAGCTCGTAGTGGGAGAGTGCTGCGATGGCTGATTACAAAATATTATATACGATGGTTCTGCATATGCATCTTTCTTTCTGAGCTGTTTTAATGATAGTGTGGTCTATTGTCTAAATACACTCCAAAAGGTACTGTATTGATGGTGCCTATTGGATTGTTTGGCCGCGAATAATTTTCAAAAGCGCTTCAGTATTTTTGAGAATTCTTCAATTTTTGATTGCTTTCGTCTTCGGTCCACCCTTCCGTGTTTAGACTGTTTAGAGTCAGTTTTCAGTTTCTTAACCACGGTGCCATGGGAGAGTGATGTTGAGTTGAACTTTATTATTTATTATCTCACCACGTTCACATGTATGCATGCTGATTTTTATTATCATAGGTAATAACTAATATTGGTATCGTAAGAAAATAGGTTTGTCATAAACTCATAACTCATAGGTACAGTCGAGTTTGCAAGAGGGAGAAAATAAAATGATATAGTGAGCTGATATTCATTTAATATAATATTAATTCATGGTATCATTCATTAATGGTTATTTTCTTTTTGATTTTATTATTTCTATTCAATATTTGGTATGGTATTTTAGTTTTTTGTTGATGTTCAATGGGCATGTTGGATCACAACCACTAGGCAATATAAATCCCCTCAAGGGACAGAGCAAGAAATTACCATAGGTAGGTTTAAAATCACCTAAAAGAATTCAGACACCTGACCACCTGAGGTTAGTATTAAATAATATCATATTGGTATAGAATACATAGATATTTATTTATTTATTCAAATATTAAATATTTAAACGTGTTTGGACACAATTATAAACATGAGTATAGCTATATTATAATACATATCATTCTTTAAATATTTATTTATAATAATTAACGGGCAATTGTGAATACAATATAGGTAAGTATATTTAAGTATATTAAGTACATTTAAATTCTAAGTAAAGATTATGAAATATACATACCTAATACGAATAATAATAATACAAATAATGATTAAAAGTAGAACAAAAAATTTGAAGGTGCTAACAATAAGGGTAGTTAGATTAAAAAAGAGGGATCCTCATTGCCCATTGGCGAAGGACATTAAGCGTCTAACGGTTCATTTTTCATATCATTACTTTTGTATTAGGGAATATAGAAGGACACAGGTGCTAGGGTTGAAAATTAAGGAACTTGAAAGGTTATAAGAGATAACAGAGTAGGAGAGTCAGCAACATTAAATAAGAAACATCTTAGGAAAGTCTTACTTAACATTTGCCTACGGTCAGCTAGAGATTGAAGATCCAGAATCTTAGAGATTAAAGAGTAATCGTGCAGAGGACATTGAATGCCTAATATGAAACGTCGATACTTTAAAAATGTAGTTTGGACTCGTTCAACCTGCAAAGATCTATTTGCAGTTTACTGGTTCCAAATTAGTGAAAAAGTTTCCAAAATGGGTCTCACTAAGGTGCACTGCTGTAGTGCAGTATAAAGCCTTTGCAGTGTCACTTAGGGGAAACTATTTAGTTGGTCGCATTACGAATCCAACAGTTTTTAACGCCTTGCAACACATCATATCGATATGAAAACTTGAGTCAAGAGAATTGCTAAATTTAAATCCAAGATCAATAACTTAATTATTTTCACGTTGTAATATGCAACCCATCAGATTATTTAATTATTTAAACAGAACAAAAGTCAGTAAACGTTTGCTATATTTATAATTCTAAACCAGTGGTTATTGGCATAATTTGTAGTTAGAGGTTTTAAATAAAATAGGTTCGTTGATTAAAATATGCAAGTGGGGGATGATTGAAAAGTTAGGCAACTTAAGAAGTTATTCCTGTCAATATCGCCATTAACCATTTGTATACACGTATATAATTATATTGTTGAACACCTTAGTTAATATAGTTGAATGAACTTATTTTATTATTGATGTTCTTTTTTTATTACTATAATTTTGTCTATATAAAAAATAGTAATGTTATTGTATAATTTAAAAAATAAGCATTGTGATTTTTTTTTTTTAAAGATCTTATAATATATGCAAGTATGCAACAGCCGTCCTTATTTATATTACATTCCGAGCACACATTTTGTTTTATCATGTTGTATTTAACACATACCAAGTATGGTATACAAAATATAAAATATTTTTCGGTTGAATCATGCAGAACTTTTACAGTGTAAAAAAATAGTTAATGTTGACACCGTCAATTTCATATCACAATAGGTTATACGTTCAAATATAATAATTAATATGTATATTTTTATTGAGGGATTATTTCAGGGACTCAAGGAAATTAAGTAAAACAAAAGAGAATATATAGGTACATGCTAGTGTTTTAGAGCACATAAAAATATTCTATTTTAGTTCTTTGTGCACTCGTAAAATAGTTATGTTACTACTATCTGGATTGGGCGTTGAACTCGGTCCAAAAAACCGATCACGACCCGAGACGGCGACAGCAATTCTAAATGTGTTCCAGCGGCATTTGATGATAATTTTAGACTATTTGGTGTGCTTCCTGTCACTAAAACATTTTTGCATTTATATTTGAATAAGGAATGGAAAAAAAATCAAACGCGTCATGAAAAAAGGCAAATAATTTATATTAGTATAGATAAATATAACAATAAAAATGTAATAATAATAATAATTAAAATACAATTTTTCTTCGTTTTATCAATGGAACGGAATAAATATATGTATATATATATAATATGTTAATGAACATTAGCCAATTAATTGCACCTATTTTTTCTTTTTTTCATTATAATCATGAAAATATAATACAATATAATATAACATAAATTTGTGTAGCTAAATACATTATATTATGTGTATAAAAATATATTCATTCTTCACTGAGTGATTACAGAAACAATATTGTAGGAACTAGCATCAATTATGTTTCAGCATTTTATTATAGGTATTATTGTGGTGTGCAACGTGATCGCGTTGTTTAAAGCTTTATAATATCATATGCATGGGTATAATAATAATTCTATGCTGTAATTTTAACGCTGCTTACATAGATAACATATATATATATATATTATGTATATATATAAATATATTTATTAGATTATATTGTATGATTTTTTTTTTAACAATGGAGAAAAAGATATTATAATGACTTACTGAACTGAATTAAAAACAACATATTTTTTTCAAAAATTAATTAATTAAAAATTAAGATATTAAAATTAAAATTAAAATGATTATGCATTCTAAAAGTGGTTCTCTAGGTGGAAAAATATTTAATGATGCGAGATTGGAATCAACTTATCAGGCCCTCCTAAGGCAGGCAACGGTGCTTCGACAGTCAACACGCCGTCTTTGCTGAGAGACGATTTGATAGCTTCCGGATTGGTGCCTTTCGGAAGTAAGAATTCCCGGTTGTACTCCCTGTACACGGATTTAGAATCTGATTTTTCTTCATGTTTGGCGTGCACCTTAACAGATAGAAAACAAATCATCAGACAAATAATCAAAAAGAGTTTAATATAATTATGTTTATTATGTTATATCATGACCATCATATAATATAGAACCGCATTTGTATAATCTTGGTGCAGTATAGTATATTATAATATTATAGACTATAATAGCATAATATATATTAATATTACAGGTAGATGTAATGTAATTTGTTTCAAAAATGAGAAAATTGTATAGTCTAGTTTTTTTTTTGCTGTTCGGCCATATTTGGTTAAGTTCAGTTATGCATGTTACCTTGACGTTATTACCTTTGATGTTTGAAATAGTATTATACAAAATAAAATATCCTATATATATTGTATATTAAAAACAATTTAAATTTAAATAGTCCAAAATCCAGCATACTAAAAGACATCACATAATATTTCTAATCGAAATAATATGTTAAAACTGTTAAAAGTGTTCATTTTTCGAAATCAGACCATTAAATATATTCTGAAGTTCGAGTTAAATTGGTTGAGTGACTTTTCGTTCAAATCATTAGAGCGTAATATGTTAACAATGTCTTGTTCACAATAGTAAATTATTTTATGAATTAAATAATAAAAACTTAACATAAGATTATATTATACCTACACTCCTGCTCAATTCGTGTATTTTACAATTCAATTACCGTAATGAAACAATAATTGTTCTTTAGGTTTAAAAACTATAGGCTTGGAAACACATTTTAATTAATTCAATTAGATATCTAATATTATAATTTATTTTGTCGGGTACGGTAAAACTTACTACCTATATTTTATTATTACTTTATGTTACGGCTGAATAGGCGAAATTTCAAATTACATTAATAAATTATACAAAAATACAATATGAAATATTATAGTAATTCAGTACAGCTAATAATATTATACTATAGTAAAACCTATAATTGTACCTAATTTATAGATATCGAAGATATTTATTGTTATCTTATAATATATTCACCTCCAATAAAGGTATATTCAATGTGATAGATTTAACACAGATTCTTCTTATATAATAAGTAGTTTAACTATATATTAAGTAGGTACATAACGAACGAAGTAGGCATATTATATAATATTTCAATTAGAAAATCATAAAAATAGAATCATTCATTATCTAATAACTTACGTAGGTACATACAGTATTATCAATAATTGTAATCCCTTATAATAATCAGGGAGTATTTTAGGTGTATAGGTATTACTGTTTTTGCCTACATTGAATATACATTTGACATAATATATTCGTGTCGGAATGTAACGGAGTATAATATAGTATAATATTAGTATTAAATTATAATATTATATGTAGGTAATATTGCATCTTGCACACGAGATCATTATTGGTTCGAAGGCTTCTAACCATTTATGGAGTTTATCGGGTGTAGACAAGGTCGATTAAGGCGTGGGTCGTTTTCAAGTATGTTTATGCCATGTGTGCGTGAGTGTGTGGTTGTTTATTTTTTTTCGTCTAAATAAACGGGCACTCCCTCCTCTGTGGGAGAAAAAACAGGTGGACTTTATAATATTATGTGAATATAGTAAAATATTTACTCAAATATACCTAGGTATAAAAGAAACTTAAAAAAATGATAAATTCACAAAATCCAATACCCCCGCGGATTGGTGTAACAAATCTGTTATTGATTCACAAGGTTTTCCAAATACTTTTATAATATCACGCGAGGCATATATTTTATAAAAATAGTTTTTAATAGCATTACATAGGTAAAAGTATATAATGTTATGTATATCAATTTTTTTTTCGAAGCTTTATGAAATCAAATTTTTTTTAAACCGTCGAGGACGCCGACGTCCACATGACATTCAATGTGTGAAGGTTGTGACAAATCATCCGTGGCTGATCTAAACATTATACCTGCCTACGTATTTATATCGTCACTGCGTTTATATTAGTGTACTATTATATACCGCTAAAACGCTTTACGCCATTATTACTACAGGTGTATAATGTATAAAGTGTAAATTAAAGTCGTGAGCCATTTTATTACAAATTCGTTTCCCACTTAAAAAGTTTCGGTCTATCATCCGCACATACACATTGGATACGATCCTCTTTAATATTTAGTTTAGTTGCTGCAGAGGACATCGCCTGGTACTTATACTAAAGTACGGTGCAGCAGAGGAACGCTAATAGTTAATACCTACGGAGTATATAATTTTAATACAACCGGTTTCGAAATCATCTCGTTACGCGTCGTGCTGCAAGTGCATATATGGAACACCCGCGATGTGTATTATAATATACTACGTACGTCGCATCCGGTGCAATTGTCTTACATTTTCTGTCGTACCTATCTCGAAATCTCGGTTGTTATACAGTATAGTAATGAAAATAATAATATTATTACTCTTGTAACAGAACAATTATTATTTTACTGTGTGCGGTAGAACGCACTAACGCAGGTAAGTATAGGTAGGTACGTCACTTGATACGTGAACGATATTCTTGACACATACCAATAGTTTGTTGTCCACCGTCTTGACGACGATTTCCTCGGGTTCATATTGACTGACATCGAATCTGAGTTTCAACATTTTATTGTCGCCATCTTCTTGAATCAGCGGAGAGTTGATGCTTTCGACCCAACCACTAGGCGTAGCCCCGGTTAGTCGGCTAGCTGGCAAATCGCTGTGGTTCGACGAGATTGTGTTCTGAGAGCTGTAAACAATAGACAAAATTCAAATTAAAAAAAAATCTAAACAATATCGTGTTATTTAAACCACATGCGTAAAGAAAAATAATAATTATGATAAACAAAATGCTGAAGTGTCATAAATTTACAACGTGCGTAAGATACTTTTTAAGAAACTTGTTAAGTGCGATAATAATAATTATTCTTAAAAAGATATTAACCATGTAGACATTCCTGACCAAAATATTCGAGTTTTTGAACTATATTTATTATTAGATATGGAATCAGAAAAAATACATGTACCAACAAATACATATATAAACAAATTATGGCTCGACTATAATCCTTGTAAAATAATACTGCTAGTACACAACCATTAATCATGATTCATGAATCATGACAAACATTTTATACTCAACATAATTTTGTATTTATGCGTTCCTATGACTCGTTTATATATTTTTTATCCTCTCGTGTTATTAATCGACTAAGTGCTGTAACATTCATTCATCGTTGTACCTATAAAAGGGTTATTAACACATTTTTTCTAAACTATTTAGGTTAACGATGTGGAATTTTCATTATCACTAATGTTGTTTTGCTTTAAAAGTTAAGTCATGTCCAATAATGCCAACTACCCTTACCAGTTACTATTACACATTCTATACATAAGATTCCAGATCTACGAATATTTTCGTTGCTTTAAAACTAGAATTCCTATATAATTACCGAAATGTCGAGTTTATACAAATCATTAAAAATAGTATAAGAAGTTACAGTTCTGATTACAGAACAATTAGATACTGACTCATAAATTAAGATATTTAATTTCCTACGGATATATAAATACATATTAATATATTATAATATGTAATTCTAGTTTGAACACGTGGTATATATAAAAGATATATTATGAAAAAAATTTAGTTTAAAACTCATTGACACTATTTGTCTATATACTATACTATTATTATAGCCCATATAGTTTTAGATCAACTGTGGGTTGGAAGGAACTAGCTCTTCTCGATCAGCTGCCATTCAACTGTTAATTTAAATGTGCCCACTCAAAAATATTTTTATTTTTCAATTTGGTGTTACGGATGAACTACGAGGTCAAATAGTTGTATATTTATACGGCTTCTATTATACTCATTATAATACTAACAAATATGACATGCTAGAAACAATAAATAAACTCGATGAAATAAAAAATAATGTTAAAGTGACCTTTTAGAAGGTGGTAAAAACCTTTGCTTTTAAAAAATAGGGTAATAACTAGAGTATAATTTTGATTGAATTGCATGAATAATAATAGAATGTTTTAAATTAAATAACGTTGAGCAATTAACTAAAAAATGCATTTAAAATATAATTAAATTATTTAAAAGCAAGCAAAAGATTACAGTGTAATAACATTTAATTATTATGCAAAAATAAATTAAAATGTATAAAATATAATATTTATAGCAAAATAGGTCCCTACAGTAATTTTAATCCGATAGTTACCTACAACAATATAATTATTAATTGTACTGGAGTGATAAAACTGCAGTAGCGTATAATTTGAATAGTTGGGTCGTAATCCGTAGGTTATATAGTGCAACACATATGTTTGAGCTCATATATGAGCTGTGAGGTGGAGTGATGTACGTTAAAGTTAATATTATGTTATATAGTTAAAAAAAAATATTACCCTGAAAAAACAACAGCTAATATGAGCCTGAACAGTGCAAAAAAAACACAATGCGGTTTAAATGTAAACAATAAACATATATAATTAATTTGATTAATGAAGTATCGCAATCTCGTTTTCATATGTACATTGTAGGTACTCGAATAATATCCATCGTCCTTTTATTTATTTTTGACATTTATATATTTTAAAATCGTAGCAGAATACCATAACATGTACTTAGTGTACAATATTACGATTTTCTAATTGGGTCGTGGTTGAGGAACTTAAATATCACGAAAAGGTGTTATAAAATATAAATAACCAAACCCAAAAGAATTTTCAGACATTATTTTTGTGAGACGCACAATAGACAACCGGCTAACAATAAAAAAAATAACACTTGACATTTCGAAAATATACACCGTCCCTCAATGATCACATAGTTCTATTTTTAGGTAAACGTGTAAGCTCGAGAACATTTTCGTTTTTATTATATTACACATACGTATGTTATGTTAAAATCCCGTTGTTTCAAATACGTTTCGAATAGTTATTATCGAACAGGTTTTTAATTGTTAAAAACCGTGTTGAAATAAAGAAAACATTAAATTCAATTTCCCCTGGGGCTCTTACAATACACGCCATAACTGTGTAATTATTATATCGTGTTATTTCTGCAACAATCCTCAGCACGAACGTCGGATACGGAAATTAATTTAAAAGAAATATTCCGATACGATTCGGACGACGAACGTTTGCAACTTAACACGCCATACTATATATATCAATATCATAATATACATGCACATATGATATGCTGCTATCGTGTAGGCGCGGTTCGGTGACCACAATGCAATAAGCTATAATATTAACATCGAGACCTACATAATATTTTGCTGCAATGTGGTCGTAAGTTAATATTATAGTAAAGGAGTATTTCTGTGACGCCGCCATCGTCGCCATCGTCTAAGTGTTATAATTTCTACTTCTTCCAATAATAGCCTGCACCGCCTCAGCGCGTATATTTTTATACTTCAAATACAAATATATATATTATGTGATTGTGCACACGTCGTACGAAATGTATCTAATCTGGGTAGACTAAACCAAAAACCCATAATATGCGCGTCATATACTCGTATGAACCTAGATATCATAGGTACATCAACTACATCATAATATAATGTGAAATAAGAAACTAAATCACTGGAAACGAGTGGATAATCGATTATATTTAACATATTATACTTAAAGGCAAAAAAATGTTTCCAACTACATTCAAGGCCTCAGGTGTTTCTCTATCGTTTCTAAAAAAGTAATTTTGAATATTGATTTTTTTTTATTATTAATTAAGTGTTACTGACAAATCAAGGTCATCTAACTTATTAATATAAGAATTTTAATTTTAATTTTTTGAATATTGATAAAAAAAATTAGGTTGTCATTATGCTCAGGATTAGGCAAAAATATTTTTAAATTGAAATACTTAAGAACCCACCAAAGGGATAGGCATCTACAAACTTTTTTTTTTAAATTTGTTTTAGACGAAACCCAAATCAAAGACTGAATCTCTTAAGAATTTCACCAGGTGTGAGTGGTGAATAATATAATACTTGGTGAACATGAGTCAGGAAATAGCAAACTTAAGCTATCTCTATAGGTTTATTGTGCCATTTGATCTGTGACCGCGGTGTGCGTTACCGCATGCGGGGAATAAAATAATAACAATAATAGTACACACGTCAGACGTAAAACGCAGTCTGACTGCAATTATTGCCAATTGTGTTGTGGTGCAATAATATAACGTGATTCCCATCACGACCTCCCATTGTTGGGCGCAAAACCGTGCAGAACAAACGCAATCAATGTCAACCCGCAAATGATTCACGAATCGTTTTGTATAAACGCACACTCTTCTCCAAGCCGTAATTTTATAATAACGATATTATAAGATTATTATCCACTAGGTTTTGGTCGAGGAATCGTATAATATACTCATGTAAGTTAGTGCCTTTATAAAAGGTTTGCCCGCCATCGAGGTACGCAGGTGGTTATACGTTCCCATACGAATACGGCAGTCGTATTTTAAATTTCAATCCGATATTTGAGATAGGTAAACATCACACGATAGTTTTAATGTGCACACGAGTCTACACAGTCATCGTTGTTCGTGCAGGTATTGAGGTTTCTGAATGTTCTATACCTACCTACATATTATTATTATTATTATTATTATTATTATTTTATGCCCCAACACGACCATAAAAATTAATCATAAGCTATAATAATACAATATACGTATTATAGGTGTACCGCACAGTGTAATATATAGATACTGCCTTACCAGTGAATCGTTAACTATTTGAGGACAATTATTCAAATGACTTGAAAATTTAGGAGGTCATATTCTAAACACGACGCTGAAGTATTTATTTATATACCTACCTATTATGTAAATTTGTTTTAAATGAGTACCTACTCGAATTAATGTTTTTTTTTTAACATTCAAAAATCAAATTATTAAAAATTTCTTTTATGTAATGAAACATTGATATTTATTATTTACTAATTCCGCTTTCATAGCAAAGTAATTCAATACCACCTAGCTTTATTATATTTTGACCAATAATTAATATTTATACAGGTATTTCACAGAGTACCTCTACAAAACTATTTGAGTAATAATGAAAATAATTCAATTAATTTAGATAGGTAGGTACACTTTATTATTATGTGTAATCTTATTATATTGATTACCTGTGCTTTTAATAATTAGCTATATGTAAATTAATATAGAAAATATATTAAACAAAAATGTAGAATACAGTTATAATGAATTATGATCTAAACATTCTAAACCCTTTGAGGTGCTAAACTGCTAATGTGCTATGAGAAACAAAAATGCAAAATTGGCATGCCAATTTCAAAAATTATTATATTATTGTACTTACAAGGACTTTTCTTCCACGTGTGATGTCCTTTTTAAAATATTGAATGATAAAAAAAATACAACAAACATTTATTAGATAATAATACATAGTTAATTTTGAAAATAATAAATTCATGACGTGTAAGACAAGTATCAAAAATTAAAAATACCTACGTCGAATTTGATGAAAAATCGCATACCTATTATACTACAAGAACGTGTCCGAATATTCGAATAAAATAAAATAACAGTAAGATTGATAATAATATTACGTTATGTTATTTGAGTATACTAACTTGGACGTGGTCTTGAAAAAGTTGGACTCTTTGTTCATGAGTTCGGAACGGAATTTGGTCATCTCGTCTTCCATCTTTCGCATTTCAGCGTCGAAACGCTCGCGGATGTTGCTGAATTCTGAGTCGATCACGCTGAAGTCGCCCAACTTTATAGGGATGTCTCGCTTGACGCCAGTGTTGTGTGCCATTTATATTTTAGCGTGTCCAAAGAAAAAAATCGATAACGAAACGGACGAGAATATTATTTTAAGGGGTAAAAACGCGACAGTATTAATAGTGTACGATATAATATTACTACAATGTACAGTATTATGCGATATAGGTAGAAGTGGTTTATGGATTGTATTCCGCTGAAAAGTTGAAATCGGCTGTTGTACCTAGACACGCAACGAACACACTCGGGGTATGACTGACGCCAGCGGGTCCGCACTCGGTCTATATGAGTGGAAAATCGAACACCCACCATTTTCACGCGGATGCTGGTCGAGCGCGCACGCGCACACAGTGTAGGCGACACGAGAATAGCTAAATGTTTATACACATATATATTATAGTATATACGACTAACCAAACGTTTATACATATTATTATACGAAACGTTCCCTTTCCGTTTTTTCTCGTTTCGTTTCAATACCGCTATTATTATTATTATTATTTTGTGTGTGTGTGTATTTTGTACTTACGAAACCACCGGTAAAAACGCGTGCGCGTTTTGGCTCTGCTGCGAGTGGGTGCAGGCCAGGCCGAGAAATAAGTTCTAGAAATTTCCGAAACTATTATTATTATACATTACTATGGACTTTAATAGTGTATTAATATTATATTTGAATTTTATTCAACCGTTCGATAACGATACGATATTATACTGATACCGTGGTGCAGAACACCATACCTGGCGTTACCATGGTGCTATGCATTACTGTGTAACCATAACACATATTATTAAGATTCCGATTATAATTAAATATTTTTATGGCCTTTCGAATTATATCTCTTTAAAAACCCGATCGCTACAATGGTACAGGTTACGAAGTACAAATTATCAAGTTCCACCATATAAACTGCAAATAGGTACTTAAGCTATAGGACCAAATAATAGACATAAAAAGGCCCTTATTTTTCTGGAAAAAATAAATTTATTTATTTATCAAGATGAACATATTTTTGTAATTCAAAATAAGTTTATATTGTAAATTGTTTTTAATACATTACAAATTGATACAAAATATGTACCTAATATGTACTTTTAATTGATGGTACAGAAAAATCATTCGTAAACACATCCAAATTTTTAGAAGTTATTTTAATTAGAAAAACCCTGCAACTCCTTTCTCTAAAGTGTATAAGTTTGCAATACCTACCTACATATTTGTTTATCTAAAATTATTGTATGACGTCACGTGTGTTTAATCTATTTTTACCTAATATTCATCGCACTGCAATATTGTGAATAATTTTAATAAAATACTATTTTTCATCATTATTTTAGAAGAAAAAAAACGATTATAAATAAGTAATACTTACCTATAATTTTATAGTTTTATTTATTCATTTATACATTATGCCCATTATGGATTGATTTATCAAAACAGTTTAATAATTAGTATTGTATTCTAAATTAATCGGTTCTAAGCTGATAAATTATAGAAGTACCTATATTTATTAAATATAAATCACATTTTTTATTGTTATAACTAAATAGATTATAAGACTTCGTATTATAGAAGTTTTACTGTGTAGGTAGATATATAATAGCCAGGAATAGGTACACATTATAATATCATACCTATTCTTTAAAATATGGTCTTAGGAACATAAATTAAACCATTTTTGTTCAAAATGTTGATTTTAAAATTGAAATAAAATCGTAATGATTATAGAACTTAGAAGTTATAATAATATTGGCCAAGAAAATGAAACAATTTATATTGAAACTGAACTAAATTAACAAAAAAACTTAAAATAGGTACTTATTTTCACTGCCAACCGAGAAAATGTTAATAGGTAGTTTATTTAGTAATAATGGGTTATTCTTATTTTTTTTATTCAATCGAAAACATTTGGATCTGAATTTTGGCACAGTTTAAAATTAAATTTATTGTTAAGTGCACACCGCACATGATAATATATTAGTCCAAGGATATTATGGGTTAACGATAGTCACTAATTTAAGGTTAAGTATTACGATTTTAAAGTAAAAAGTTTATTTTGTTTCTATTATTAATTGTACAGTTATTTGATGACTAATTTAATTTAAATTGAATTGATTAATAGTTAACTTTTGCTAATTATTCATGTTGGCATACTACCCAAATCTGTTATCCGGAAGTCATAATGCTGTTTGCAGTTTGCGAACTGTCCATTAAATGCAAAAGTACAGTAGTACATAATACTAGTACAGTAGTACATAAAGAATGCAACTTAAATCTAAACACAAGTTAATTGAGATGTATTAGTTCATTGTTGAACTCTGACACTGACATTTCTGATATACGTCCAATTTTTATTCATAAAAATAATGAAACGTGTGAATATAACTTTTCAGAGTACAGCCGGAATTACGTCATGGTTTTCAAAATAATCAACCATTTTGTGGGGACAAACTTCTCCGTATCATTGTACTAATAAACTATAAATACTCAAAACATAATATTATGTTTACCTACACCGGCTACACCTATAATAGGTATAATATCTATTACCTATAGTGATACGATCGTTAATTTTCCGAAACATCAATCATTTTATATCCATAACGGACAATACATGCAGAATATATATACAGGGTGGGTCTTTTATAAGTAAACATACTCATTATATATCAAAGAGTAGGTAGATTAGCTAATATTGAATTATATTAATGTTTTTATATACGTATTTTGTTTATTTTTCCAAAACTGAAAATTTTCTTGGCATTTCAATGTATTACAATTGAGAAAGTATTGAAATTTCACAGTGACGTTAGTAATGAACTTACATTTTCAACTCAAAAGTAATGTAACTTTACTAAATAAAAAAAAGTAACATAATATGATATTATATTATATTTTGTAATGTACCTTATATATTTACCCAAAAAATAAAACTTCCCTAACACTGGACTAAATACCTTACAAAATCTAGGTCCACTAGTCCGCTCATATATATTTAAAATACTTATGAGTTATGACTAATCAACTAATTAGTTTGTAATTCAATTTCTGTATAATATTTATATTTTAAGTAAAATATTCTGTTTCGAGTATATAATTTAGAACGCACTCTATCATTCAAAAAGTAAAAAAATTAATTTGTTTCAAAAATGTAGTTTTGAAATGATTTAAAATTATCGAAAAACAATATTTTCAGGGAAAATGAGTGTTTGTAACTTTATAGTGATTAATGATTTTTTAAAAAACGGCCTATGTATTACATTTAGGTGACTAGGTGAGGTATACTGCTAAGCATTAAGATATATTTTCAATTCAGAGTAGGTACACAATGTATAATACGTACAATGTGCTGCATTATAATAAAGTTCTGTAATGGATAGGGGATGATTTTACAAACAGCTTCGCCCACTGCAGCCTTCCTCGGCCGCCGGCAGGTGACGACCACGCTTCTACTGCCACATTGCGGTGGCGTGATGCGTCAGCTGCATCAGTGACGAGGCGATTGTCGCGCGACTGCGCGAGGGTGTCGATTGAAAGAGTCAGACATTTGATATCCGCAGTGCAGCTATAAACGCTCAGTTGTGATATTACTAACACAATATTAAATTTGGGGAATGGATCCACTGTACAGCTCAATATTTATGGTGACTTCTAAATGCAAGGATTTACGAATTTACAGATTTCAAATTTTGGTATTCTAGACTTTTACTGACCATATTTTGACATTTCAGATTTTAACGCAATCTCATATTTTGTTATAGCTGTTACCTCAGATTTTGATTAAAAATTTACCGTATACTTGAGTAATTTTATGTTAACTTTTGCAGCATACAATGACTAGATTACTCCTAGCTTTATTTTTTTTATACATTTAAGAATCAAATGATATACCTACTATATTATATTATATTTAAATAATAACTATAAGATAAGTATGATTTTCTGTTTTAATAGAAATAGGCAATAGCTATTTGACAAAAAAGTTATAATTTTTATAAGTTTAAATTAAGCTGTGATTTTAAATTAGTTATTTGGAAAATACATTGTTATCTGAAATACATTTACAAAATAAAGAATAAAATGTGTTAAACAATAATTATTGTCTTAAATTTGGATCTTAAATAAACATTTCATAATATTTCATATTGTTTTCTGTTATAACTTAGTTGCTGTATTGACAACATAATTCTGAAGCTCCATTGATATTTTTTTTAAATAAAATATAAAAAGCAAATTAACTAGTAATGAAGTTATTTTTTAACTCGAAACTCGAAAGTAATGTAATTGACTAACTAAAAAAAAAATAACTTAAGAGCAACTGTATTACAATGAATTTGAAAGGTAATTCGCAATGTAATGTAATTGCCAAAAAAAATATAACTTGCCCAACATTGGACTAATACAGTAATACCTAGTAAATGCCTAAATGTTTCGATAAATCTCTAGCGGCGGGCGCGAACACATGCCTGCCTGCCTGTAGCTATCACTTGATTTTGTTTTCTTTGCGAATCGATCGTGTTCCGGTCACCGTCTTCCGTTTATAGAAATGTATGTACGATCGTGAGTCGTGACGACGGCGGCGGCATAACATAATAATATAATAATGTATAGAATAGAACGGAGCGACGACCACGCAGGACGCAAAATACGGGTCTCCGACGGGCGGGCGTCATTGGTGACTCATACCATATATTATTATGCCCGGCCAACACTTCCGTGACGTCACTGCGTGTTTAACAACCACGTACATAATATAGACCACCGTATCTCTAAATTGTTATTATCATATAAATGTACACAAACTTTACGTAAGACCCTGCTGTGGCGCCGCGTTGCGAGGTTATTTTCGTTTTTCTATCAGCGTTGTAGAGTGAAATAAAACTATACTCGCCACTTCGACGCCACAAGATTATAATCATAATGTCGAAGAAGAAAAGCATCGCCCTAGAAAGATCGCAACTTCCGATCATCAAGGTGTACACTTAATATTATATTATTATCACAACCACCACTAGCATAATTCATTGAATTGTGTTGGTGGGAGGGGGGAGTTATCCGTGGAGGTCTCTATTTCGACGCGTTTCCGGTCACGACTAAGACGTATTTATGTAAGACAAACGCTTATTGAAATATGATGTTAAATATCTATCAGATACATACCAGTATACCACTGTATCAACGCCTGTAATATTGTGGCTCTTTTTATCGTAAGCGACAAGTATAGGTGGGTAGTCATTGGATCAGGTCGCGT